CTTGTGTTCTGCCGCTTTCACCTCAAGTCCTATGACTGGAAGGGGAATTTAACCACAATGGATGTACAGAGAATCGTTGCTCTAGAAGAGAGGATTTGGAGGCTATGAGTTATGACTTATGTAAATTAGGTCAAGAAGAATCCAGGTTGTGCCTTTTCTCCGTCCAATTCAGTCTCCTATTCCTCCTCGGAACAGGAAACTTCCAAAGACGGACGCAATTAGCCTGGGCTTCGTTACCAAGTCCATAGGAGGTCTGGTGAGACCTGGACCCTGAGGTAAGGTGGTGGAGTGTGTTGAAATGCGCAGTGGTGCTGAGACCGGCCCAGGGGGCCTTCTCCGGCAGCCTGATGGGTTCCCAACGTGATCTAAGATGGAACCAGGGCACCAGGCTGTTCATAGCTCTGTTTTTTAGATATTTTACATTTTATTTGCGGCTTATAGTATGATCAGTTTTCAAAATGTTCCAAGACTATTTGAAAAAAGTTCTTGGTTTTATCTGACAAAGTTCTAAATATATTTATTAAATCAGGGTTGCGGTTATGGTCTTCAAATCTGTTATATCATTTTTTTTTTATCTACTTCATCTATTGATTTTTTGAAAGGCAAGTTACAATCTTCCACTATTATTGTGGTTTTCGCAGTGTTTCCTTACACTTTTAATAGACTTTACCTTATTAATTTCTCTGCTTTCTTGGATGTGTACACGTTTATGACGGTTATATCTCTTTTGTGGGTTGTACCCTTCGTCACCACGAAATATTTATTTTTATCTTTCTTTAACTTACAGTTGCAGATATATATTTTACATCATTTTTTCTTTAAAATATTTTATTTGAAAATAAATGAACAAAAAGAAAAGTATAAAAAATAATATAATAAAACCCAGATACATACCACCCAAAATGAATAATTGTTAATATTTTTCTTATTTGCTTCAGATTTGTTTTTATTGAAATAAAACCTTATAGATAAAGTTAAAACCTATATTTCCCTCTCTAGTCCACTTTCCTTCTATCCGTTCTTCAAGGGAATAATTATCATGAATTTGGTGTGTACTCAGTCCAGAATTTTTATACGCTTATTGCATGTATTCATTAATAATACATAGTAACGTTTTCGGCATTTAAAAAAAAAATGACTTGAAAGACCTAGTACTGTACATGACTTTCCAAAACTTTTTTTTAACCTAATGTATTTTTTTAAAGATCTAGCTATGTTAATCCCCACGCGTCTGTCAGTTTTCTATACTCTGGTGGCTTGCGTGTTGCTGTGATGCTGGAAGCTATACTACCAGCATTTCAAATACCAGTAGGGTCACCCATGGTGGACAGGTTTCAGCAGAGCTTCCAGACTGAGAAAGACTAGGAAGAAGGATCTGGTGGTCTACTGCTGAAAAAAATTAGCCAATGAAAACCTTATGAATAGCAGCTGAATATTGTCTGATATAGTACCGGAAGATGGGCCCCTCAGGTTGGAAGGCATTCAAAATATAACTGAGGAAGAGCTGCTTCCTCAAAGTAGAGTCGACCTTAATGATGTGCATGGAGTCAAGCTTTTGGGCAACTTCATTTGTTAATGTGGCGGGACTCAAAATAAGAAGAAATAGCTGCAAACATCCATTAGTAATCGGAACATGGAATGTAGGAAGTATGAATCTAGGAAAATTGGAAATTGTCAAAAATGAAATGGAACACATAAACGTTGATATCCTAGGCATTAGTGAGCTGAAATGGACTGGCATTGACCATTTTGAACCAGAAAATCATGTAGTCTACTATGCTGCAAATGACAAATTGAAGAGGAATGGCATTGTATTCATCGTTAAAAAGAACATTGCAAGATCTATCCTGAAGTCCAACCCTTTCAGTGATAGGATAATATCCATACACCTTACAAGAAGACCAGTTAATATGACTATTATTTAAATTTATGCACCAACTACTAAGGCCAAAGATGAAGAAACTGAAGATTGTTACCAAATTCTGCAGCCTGAAATTGATCAAACATGCAATCAAGATGCACCGATAATTACTGGTGATTGGAATGCGAAAGCTGGAAACAATGATGAAGGAACAGTGGTTGCAAAATACAGTGTTGGTGATAGAAAGGATGCAGGAGATTGTATGACAGAATTTTGCAAGAACAACGAAGTTTTCGTTGCAAATACCTATTTTCAACAGCGTAAATGGCAACTATACCTGTGGACCTCCCCAGATGGAATACACAGGAATCAAATCGACTACATCTGTGGAAAGAGACCATGGAAAAACTCAATATCATCAGTCAGAAAAAGACTGGGAGCCGACTGTGGAACAGACCATCAATTACTCATATGCAAGCCTAAGTTGAAGCTGAAGAAAATTAGAACAAGTCCACGAGAGCCATAGTACTACCTTGAGTATATCCCACCTGAATTTACAGAGCATCTCAAGAATAGATTTGATGCATTGAACTCTAATGACCAAAGACCAGATAAGTTGTGGGATGACATCAAGGACATCGTACATGAAGAAAGGAAAAGGTCATTAAAAAGACAGGAAAGAAAGGAGAAATCAAAATGGATGTCAGAAGAGACTCTGAAACTTGCTCTTGAATGTAGAGTAGCTAAAGCAAATGGAAGAAATGATGAAGTAAAAGAGCTGAACAAAAGATTTCAAAGGCCAACTGGAGAAGACATAGTATTATAATGACATGTGCAAAGACCTGGAGTTAGAAAACCTAAAGGGAAGAACATGCTCAGCATTTCTCAAACTGAAAAAAAACTGAAGAAAAATTCAAGCCTCAAGTTGCAATATTCAAGGGTTCTATGGGCAAAGAAAAAGGGAGCCCTGGTTGCATAGTGGTTAAGAACTCGACTGCTAACCAAAAGGTTGGCAGTTCAAATCCACCATTGGCTCCTTGGAAACCCTATGGGGCAGTTCTACTCTGTCTTATGTGGAGGGGTCACTATGAGTCGGAATTGACTCGATCTCAATGGGTTGGCTTTTTAGTTTGGTTTATGGGCAAAATATTGAACAACCCAAGAAGCATCAAGAAAAGATGGAAAGAATACACAGAGTCACTGTACCAAAAATAATTGCTTGATGTTCAACCATTTCAGGAAGTAACATATGATCAAGAACTAATGGTGTTTGAGGAAGAAAAGCAGCATTGAAGACATTGGTGAAAAACAAGGCTCCAGAAGCTCAAGAAATTGACAGAATGCCAACTGAGATATTTCAACAAATGGATGCAGCTCCAGAAGTGCTCACTTGTCTATGCCAAGAAATTTGGAAGACAGCTACCTGGCCAGCTGAATGGAAGAGTTACATATTTGTGCCCACTCCAAAGAAAGCTGATCCAACAGAATGCAGAAATTATTGAACAATATCATTAATATCACATGAAAGTAAAATTTTGCTGAAGGTAATTCAAAAACTGTTGCAGTAGTACATCGACAGGAAACTGCCAGAAATTCAATCAGGATTCAGAAGAGGACATGGAATGAGGGATGTCATTGCTGATGTCAGATAGTTCCTGGCTGAAAGCAGAGAATACCAGAAAGATGTTTACTTGTGTTTTATTGACTATGCTAGGGCATTTGACTGTGTGGATCATAACAAATTATGGATAACATTAAGAAGAATAGGAATTCCAGTACACTTAATTGCTCATGCAGAACCTGTATATAGACCAAGAGACAGTTGTTCAAACAGAACAAGGGGATACTGCCTGGTTTAAAATCAGGAACGGTGTGCGTCAGGGTTGTATCCTTTCACCATACTTACTCAATCTGTATGCTGAGCAAATTATCTGAGAAACTGGACTACATGAAGAAGAATGTGGCATCAGGATTGGAGGAAGACTCATTGACAACTTGTGATATGCAGATAACACAACCTTGCTTGCTGAAAGTGAAGAGGACTTGGAGCACTTATTGATGAAGATCAAAGACCACAGCCTTCAGTATTACACCTCAACATAAAGAAAACAAAAATTCTCACAAGTGGACCAATAAGCAACATCCTGATAAACGGAGAAAAGACTGAAGTTATCAAGGATTTCATTTCACTTGGATCCACAATCAATACCCATGGAAGTAGCAGTCAAGTGATCGAAAGATGCATTGCATTGGGCAAATCTGCTGAAGAAGACCTGAAAAAAAGTGCTGAAAAGCAAAGATGTCACCTTGAAGACTAAGGCGCGCCTGACCCAAGCCATGGAGTTTTCAGTCTCCTTATACACATGTGAAAGCTGGACAGTGAATAAGGAAGACGGAAGAAGAATTGATGCCTATGAATTGTGGTGTTGGTGAAGAATATTGAATACACCATGGACTGCCAAAAAAGGACAAAGAAATCTGTCTTGGAAGACGTATGACCAGATGCCCCTTGGAAGCAAGGATGGTGAGTCTTCGTCTCCCATACTTCGGACCCATTATCAGGAGAGATCAGTCCCTGGAGAAGGACATCTGCTCGGTAAAGTAGATGGTCAGCAAAAAAGAGGAAGACCCTCAACCAGATGGACTGACACAATGGCTGCAACAATGGGCTCAAGCGTAACAAGGATTGTGAGTATGGTGCAAGCACTGGGCAGTGTTTTGTTCTGTTGTACATAGGGTTGCTATGAGTCAGAAATGACTGTATGGCACCTAACAACAACAACAACTATATATATATATATATATATACACACATATATACACATATATGCCAGACAAACTGGAAGAGTAGAGAACAAAGGACTCCCTGACTATCACCCTGAGACCCTCTTTAAACCTAAAACCAAGCCTATCCCCATGAGATTACCTTTTAGTGAAAATAGCAAAGTGGCACATAAAATAAAGGTTATTACCCATTAAGTCGGTGCTCTACTTAAAAACCGTCTGTGTGAGATCAAAAGGTCAACAATTACTCAAGCGAAGATGAGGAGATAAGGGGGCAGAGAAACTAGAGCACTGTATTTTCACGTAAATAATGTGCGCCTTCTACGTCTGTTTGCCAACTGTGTCTTCCCCCCAGGAGATATTTTTTGAGGCCGCAGTCAGCAAACAAACAGTGTCAGGCTACCAAAGATACTGGAACCATTGCTGGCCTCATTGTACTGAGAATCATCAACGAGCCAACTGCTGCTGCTATTGCTTATGGCTTAGACAAAAAGGTTGGGGCTGAAAGAAATGTTCTGATCTTTGACTTAGGAGGTGGCCCTTTTGATGTGTCAGTCCTCACTATTGAAGGTGGAATCTTTGAGGTCAAATCTACAGCAGGAGACACCCACTTAGGTGAAGACTTTGACCACAGAATTCTGAACCATTTCACTGCCGAATTCAAGTACAAACATAAGAAGGACATCAGTGAGAACAAGAGGGCTGTTCGTCACCTCCACACCGCTTAGAACGTGCAAAGCGCACTCTGTCTTTCAGCACCCAGGCCAGTATTGAGATTGATTCTCTCTATGCCTCCATTACCCATGCCCAATTTGAGGAATTGAATGCTGACCTCTTCCATGGCACCCTGGACCCTGTGGAGAAAGCCCTTAGGGATACCAAGCTAGACAAGTCACAGATCCATGACATTGTCCTGGTGGGTGGTTCTACCCGTATTCCCAAGACTCAGAAACTTCTTCAGGATTTCTTTAATGGAAAAGAAATGAACAAGAGCATCAACCCTGATGAGGCTGTTGCTTATGGTGCAGCTGTCCAGGCAGCCATCTTATCTGGAGAAAAATCTGAAAATGTTCAAGATTTGCTGCTCTTGGACGTCACTCCTCTTTCCCTTGGTATTGAAACTGCTGGTGGAGTCATGACTGTCCTGACCAAGCGCAATACTACCATTCCTACCAAGCAGACGCAGACCTTCACAACCTACTCTGACAACCAGCCTGGTGTGCTCATTCAGGTTTATGAAGGTGAGCGTGCCATGACCAAGGATGACAACCTGCTTGGCAAGTTTGAACTTACGGGCATACCTCCTGCACCCTGTGGTGTTCCTCAGATTGAGGTCATCTTTGATATTGATGCCAATGGTATCCTTAACGTCTCTGCTGTGGACAAGAGTACTGGAAAAGAGAACAAGATTATCATCACTAATGACAAGGGCGGCTTGAGTAAAGAAGACATTGAGCGCATGGTCCAGGAAGCTGAGGAGTACAAAGCTGAAGACGAGAAACAGAGGGACAAGGTGTCTTCTAAGAATTCACTTGAATCCTATGCATTCAACATGAAGGCAGCAGTTGAAGATGAAAAACTTCAAGGCAAGCTCAATGACGAGGACAAACAGAAGAGATTCTTGACGAGTGTAATGAAATTATCAGCTGGCTTGGTAAGAGTCAGACGGCCGAGAAGGAAGAATTTGAACCTCAGCAGAAAGAGCTGGAGAAAGTCTGCAATCCCATCATTACCAAGCTATACCAGAGTGCCAGAGGCATGCCTGGAGGGATGCCTGGGCGCTTCCCTGGTGATGGAGTTCCTCCATCTGGTGGTGCCTCTTCTGGACCCACCATTGAAGAAGTTGATTAAGCCAAACTCTGAGCAGATACCTTAGCATTGCTCCACAGTAAAAATTTGAAGGACCCAAATTTGTACTACATTCAATGGCAGTTTTAAAAGTTACACTGCTATCTTAAATTTCTGGGTTTTCTCAATACTTGAATAGGGAATATGCATAGGGAAAGGAAGTCAACACTGCACTTTACTAGCACCGCATTGTAAGTGTAAACTGTAATGTCTTAAATAAAATTGTATTTAAAATTGGAAAAAAAAAGTTTATCTGCAAATAGTGGTCATTTTATTTCATTCTTCTCTTACTGCTTTGGCTAAGACTTAGTGTTAGGATAAAAAGTCTTATAAATGAGGAACAGAGGGGAATTTCCTTGATCTGATCAAGGGCCTGTACCAAAAATTCCAGCACATAGCACATTTAATGGCAAAACTTTATGGTAAAATTATAGATGTTTTTCTGTTAAAGTCAGGAAAAAGAGATCCCCACTCTCTCTCCTACTATTTAACATTATGTAACAAGTAGCTTTTTGGTAGATATGTTTTATAATATTAAGGAAATTCTTTTCTGTTCCTAGCTAGTTAAGAGTCCTTCATGAATGATGTTTAATGTCATTACATTCATAAGCTGTTAATGTGGGATATGACTTTAGAGAGTTCTGATGTTAAACTAGGAGCCCTGGTGGCTCAGTGTTTAAAGCGCTCGGCTGCCAACTGAAACGTTGGCAGTTTGAACCCACTGCTGCTCCACAGGAGAAAGATGTGGCAGTCTACTTCTGCAAAGATTTACAGCCTTGTAAACCCTATGGGGCAGTTCCACTCTGTTCTATAGGGTTGCTAGGCGTCAGAATCGACTTGACGGCAGTGTGTTTGGTTTTTGGATGTTAAACTATCATTGCATTTCTGGAATACATCCTTCTTGGACATTACACATTTTTTGTACACTGCTGGATTAAACTTGCTAAATAATATTTATGATTTTTTTTCTATGTTTATTTGTGAGATAGAGCTATGTTTTCTTTTTGTTGTGTCATTTTTTTGTTTGCATATCAAAGTTATACTAGTCTCATATTATACAATGAATGAGAGACTCTCTCTCTTATTCTATTTTAAAAAGAAAAAAATTTCTCTCCCTGAAGATTTGGTAAAACCAGTTGATCTTGGTTTCTTTCTTTCTTTTTTTGGAGAGGTGAAAAGCAGCAGTGGGAAAACCTCACTAACAATTCAATTTTTTAAAATGGTTGTTGGTTTGTTTTCCATTTTGTTTTGAAATATTTTTGATAATTTATATTCTTCTATATTTGATATTTATATTATACTAGAAAACATTTCATTTTATCTATTATACAATGTCGTTCAAAAAATTCTCTTAAAATTATAGTTACGTTCCCCTTTTCATTCTTAGTATGTTGTATTTCTGCTTTCCCTTTTTTTCTTGCTACTTTGCTGAATAAATGTGTAACTCATTTGATTTCAATCTTGTTTATTTGTGATAAATGAATTTAAGGCTATGTATTTTCCTCTAAGTAAAACATTAGCTGCGTCTTTCAAGCTTTGATAAATGGAGCTTCTCTAGTTATAGAGAAGCTCTTTAACTCAGGAGTTATTTGGGTGATTGATTTTTACTTTCCAAATGTTTAGTTTTTTTAAAAAAAAGTTTCTTTATTGTTCATTTTTTATTAATTGCACTATCATCAGAGAACATGGTTTACAAGATGTTATTTCTTTCAAACCATTATCTGAAATGCAGTCATTCTTGTAAATGTTTCAAATAAGGTTGAAAAGAAAATCTGGGTGGAAACAAAGTTCTTGGTAGTATAATGAGATATTGATATTGAAATTTCAGTTGATGTGGTAATGTAAAATAGACTCTAAATACCAAAGTGAGGTGTCATTCTCAAATGTAATTTTTTTTTTCTTTCACAGTTATGGAGTTTATTAGAGAAGTAACAGGTTATAATTCAGGATCAGGAATGACTCAGGATACACTTTGATCAGGACAGCTTCTTCTCCAGCCCCTGTTACTAGGCCCTCAGCCTCCAGAGGACTGGCTCCTCTCAGCCCCCACAGGACAGGCTCCTCTTGGCCCTGTCAGGACAGGCTCCTCTCAGCCCCCTCAGGGCAGGCTCCTCTCAGCCCCCTCAGGGCAGGCTCATCTCAGCCCCCCTCAGGATAGGCCTTCCCTTTCAGCCCTTGACCTTCGGCCTGGCCTCTACCCAGCTCAGGCAAGTGTTACAAAGCTCTTTTAGCTCTGCCAGTAAGTGCCCAGAGGCACCCACTCCACCAGGAAGACTTCTGCACTAATTTAATTAAACTTAATTAAAATTTTTATTATTTCTATGCCTGGAGTAGAGGAAAACATTTTAAATGTAAAAGCACAATCCTATCGTTCTATTTTCAGCATTTTGTTTTTGTGTCATTTTATTTTAAGTAAATCTCTTACAAAGAGCTTATATTTAGCTTCAGTTTTTAATGTTTTCAAACTAACTTGAGAATCTTTGTTTTTCAAGAAGAGAATTTAACCCATTTGGGACAAGTGTTATGTTTGGTAGAACTCCGGTTTTTTATTATTTCTGTTCTGTTTACTATGTACTTTGGTTTTCTTCTTTTCTTTTTATTAACCTTTGTGTCAGTGATACTCTTTATTGTTGTTCCTCTCCACTCCTCCACAAATGATTTGCAATTTAGTGTCTTTAATTGTATTCAGCCAGTGACATCTTTACCTTTTTAATAGACAGTTTAAGATGTCTTTTTAATTCAATTTCATGAATTAAAATTTTTCTCTTAGATAAAAATTTAAATTTAACCATGCATTTACTTCTTTCTTTCCTGCTCTTCTTTGAATCTCATAAAATCTCAATTTTTATTTTAAGATTTATACTTATTCTTTGACATCATGTCTTCTTTTGAAACCATATTTTTGCATAGCCATATCATCAACACTTATTTTCAATAATTATACATCTAGCTTCACTGATCACAATTAATTCTTGTGCGTTATGTCTTCTTTTCTCATGAGTTCTCCATTTAAATTGATGTTTCTTGTGTCTGAATTATTTTCACCATTAATTTTTCATAAAGAGACATAATGGTGGAATTTCTGAATAATTGCATGTCAACAATTCCCTTCTTCTGTGCCCACACAGAAATAATTGCTGCAATAGGTAGGGAATTTTTTGGCAAACCTTTGATACCAGAATTATATACAAAACATCTTTCAACCAGCTTTTCTTTTATAGGCTTACTTATGAGAATTCAATGACGATCTGAGTTATTTTTTTTTTAATTGTTGCTGATTTTGTCCATCTGGAAACCTACACAGTATGTATTTCTTAATCCTTCGGATGTCATACTTTTGGCAAGACACGTTTAACTTTGTATCTTTTTCTTTATTACTTCTAACACTTGGCAAACCTTTTCAATGTGAAGGATTAGGTCTTTGTTCAGCATAGAGAACTTTTCTTCTATTAGTTCTTTGATTATTAATTCTCCCTCATCCACTACTTTCCTTTCTTTTGGACATCTTTTTTATTGAGATTGGTTCTTTTGGATCTATCTTTCATGACTCCCACCATTTCTTCTTAAATTCTAATGTTTTGTCTTTTTGCCATGTATTTGGGGAGAATTCCTCAAGCCAGTCTTCTAAATCACAAATCAGTTTTCATTAACATACATTCTGTTATTCATGTCCTCCACTGAGTTATTATTTTAATGATTAAAAAAAATCCCAATAACTCTCCTGCTCTCAGGTTATCCCAACTCTGTTTTAAAAATAGAAATCTGCTGTTATTTTTAAAAATAAGTTTTACTGAGGCATAATTTATATACAATAACATCCACCACTCATAAGTGTACAATTCAATAACATTTGACAAATGTATACACTTGTGTAACCATCACCACAACCATCATATAGAATATTTCCATCACCCCCAAAATTTCCCTTGTGCCAATTTGTAGCCAATCCCTTCCCCCTATCTTAATCCCTGACAATCACTAGTCTGTTTTCTGTCACTGCAGTTTTGCCTTTTCAAGAATTTCATATAAATGGAATTATTTATTCTGTACTCTCTATTGTCTGACTTTTTTCATTTAGCATAATGTTTTTGAGATTCATTCATGTTACTTTATGTATCAATAGTTCATTCCTTTTGATACTTGAGTAGCATTCCTTTTTATGGACACAACACAACTTGTGTATTTAGTCATCAGTTGATGGTCAGTTTTCCAGGCTTTGGATATTATGAATAAAAATGCTATGAAAGTTCTTGTAGAAGTCATTGTGTATACAAATGTTTGGAATTAAGGGGTTGTATAGTAAGTATATGTTTAACTTTGTGAGAAATTGCCAAACTCTTTTTCAAAAGTGTTATATGTTTTGAATTCCCATCAGCAATGTATGGGAGTTCCATTTCTTCTTGAGTGGGCTTTGGAAGTTTGTGTCTTTCAGAGAATTTGGACAATTCATCTAAGCTGGGGACTAATAAAAAACTATCTGGCCCAGAGAGAACCTCTGATTAAGGGCAGCTGTGGAAGCTCCAGGCACCTCTCAGTATTTCTGTAGCAACTGTGTCCACAGTGTATACAAATCCTAGCAAAAAGAGTACCTCCTGATGAGTGAGCTGTGGTGTTATTGGCTTCCAACAAAATCCCATATGGAAGGTGAGTGGCTTGAGAGATTTCCTTCGCATTGAGTAGTCCCTCTTTCTGTAGCTGCTTGCCTGGCAGAGCCAACCGCTTTCCTCAGGTGTGGTGAGGGAGTGGGCAGAGGTCCCAGGAAGCTGACACGGAAGAAGGGTCTCTTCCACGTGTGTATGATAGGAGAGGCCAGAGGCAAGCTTTCCTCCCCATTCTTAGAATGTTTTCTTCACAGGAATCAAATTTTCATGTATGTGGGTGAGACCACCACCTTATTTTTCAGTAATGGGACAAGATTTCCTTCTACACTAACTGAATTGCCTTAGGGAGAGATTTAAGAAAGGAGAACAATAACACATGTTATACCTCCATATACTTCCATATTCCTAGAATTCTGTCATATATTTGTATTAGTTATCTATTACTGCATAAAAAATTACTCCAAAACCATAGCAGCTGAAAACAATGAATATTTATTATTTCC